TATTTTTTTTTTTTTGGTACAGTTAGTGTGATATTCAGAGAAGCAATTGCAGATTAGGAAGTGAAGTGGAGACTAAATAGTTGAGTTTTTAGTCGTTTCTTGAAAATAGCGAGTGACTCTGCTTTTCTGATGCAGTTAGGGAGTTCATTCCACCAACTGGGCAGATTGAGCGTGAGCGTTCACGAAAGTGATTTCTTCCCTCTTTGGGATGGAACCACGAGGCGACGTTCATTCACAGAACGCAAGTTTCTGGAGGGCACATAAATCTGCAGAAGTGAGAGCAGATAAGAAGGAGCAAGGCCAGAAGTCACTTTGTAGGCAAACATCAGAGCTTTGAATTTGATGCGAGCAGCAACTGGCAGCCAGTGCAAACGGACTAGCAGCGGAGTGACATGTGCTCGTTTAGGTTCATTAAAGACCACTCGTGCTGCTGCGTTCTGGAGCAGTTGAAGAGGCTTGACAGAGTTAGCTGGAAGCCCAGCTAGTAGAGAGTTGCAGTAATCCAGTTTGGAGAGAACAAGAGCTTGAACAAGGAGTTGAGCTGCATGTTCAGATAAGAAGGGTCGGATCTTTCTGATGTTATAGAGTGCGAATCTGCACGATCGAGCAGTTCTAGAAATGTGGTCAGAGAAGTTTTTTATTGGATTTTAGTGTAAAGCTGCGGTAAAACTGAATTACGTAATATTTATTATTTTATTTCTTCTTATTATTATTAATTTTAAAAACTTCATCCAATCCCAATATTCAGACTCAGTTGTGCTTTGAAAAAAATGTTTATGAAATGACAGACAGAAGATGAATGAGTTGCGTTGTATATTACCATTATTATCCATAGTTCAAGCTGCTGCATTGCATTATTATGTGATGCGCCAGTTGTATGCTGCACATTTCCGCAATTTCAATTCATCCAGGGATTCTACGCCTACAGAAAACCGCTATTATTTACAGTAAACAAACACACAATCTTCACATACATCATTTACAGTACACGCTTTGAAGGACTCATACCATTCTCTTATGCAATAACGCCAACCTTAGTATTTGTGCTTCCTGCGAGCTGATCCAATCAGGAAGTTACCTGTCCCAGACCAGATGGTGCAGAGTTGGGATAAGCTCATAACACATCTGCACACACCTGCACAGTCTGCCGGGCCTCAGTAAGACCACATTGTTATGGAGCTACCGACGTGAGCTTTTAAACACACACTGAAGATGTACAGTATATGCAGCGATACCGCATCAATATTTGATCAGTACACAGAGTAAGGTGACCTCGCCGAAGCGAAACCTGCATGCTTTTAGTGCACGGCAACAAACATCATGTGTGTTTTAACAACCATCAGAGTGCACTGGGTAACATAAATATGCAACCTGAGCATGACTAGCTCTAATGCTTAACCCTTGTGTGCTGTTGGGGGCGTTTTCATCCACTCTGAGGAGATTTTGAGGCTTAATTTGGACACAACTTTCTCTGTGTTTAAGCAAATGGAATCATTTTTGGTGACAAATCTTATTTTGACACACATTTTGGGAAAATGCTTTGAAAATGTTTAAAACCTCAACAACTCACTCTGGGCAAATTCACTACCCTTTTATTATGTTTGGGGCTGTTTTTGCCCCGTTGACTACCCGCATTTTATTACGTTTTATATATATATATATATATATATATATATATATATATATATATATATATATATATATATATATATATATATATATATATATATATATATATATATATATATATATATATATATATATATAAATATAAATATAAATAAATATATAAATATATATAAAAATATAAATAAATATATAT